GTTTAAATTTCAGTCAACAAATGGTTTAAAAAATGATAACACAAAAGACTTGAAGATCACTTTTCCAAATATTCCATAGGCAGGCCAATAATTTTACATTGTACTTCCATTGAGCTATGTAAGAAACGTTTCACATTGTTGTTATCATTTTTAAATACTAGATGCATTCCTAAACTGTCATCAGAGCGCTGTTTAATTTAAATCCAAGTGTTAGTATTGTTTACGAGCAGGAAATATAATAACAGTAAAATGCACAGAGATAATCCTGGATACATTTCTGCTTTAACAACACTTCCTCAGCTGTTGGTAAATGGACTTGAGCTTGTATGGCACTTTTCAAGCTTTTGACTACTCAAAGTGCTTTTACACAGCATGTCACACCTACACATTCACAAATAGAAGTGTCCAACTATACCACTGAGCCACAGCTGCCATAAGTTAATTTATCCTCCTGTATACATTAGAACTTTTTTTCCATACAATAATTTCTTTAAAGACTTTATATGGGATTTTTTTGATCCAGTAAAAATGGGAGCGTGATCTAGAAACACAGTTAAGCAGTGAGTACAGTATGTTATTCTTCTTTTCTCTAGTCCCTCAATTAAACAACTTTTATACGTGAGGGGAGGAGTCAGCCGGCTGTCCGGGCGATGTAAACAAACTGAAGATAGGACTCTGAAAACATCACAGACAGTGGGACTCAGGTGTTACACCCATTGTAGACAGTCATGACTCACAGAGTTATTTTCAGAGGATATACTTGATTTATATTATATTTAAGTGAGAAAAATCACATATAAAGCCTTTAAGGGTGAGGTATAAGATGAACCTGTTAAGCACATCATGTCAGAACATGGTCCTTAATTGGGTTAGTCAACCTATTGTCTTCTCACCTGTCGTTTGCAGGTGTGCAAAAGTAGCGCTTTAAGAACATACTTAAAAATTAAATAAAGTCAGACTTTACTTACACTGTGAGTAACAGATTGCACTTTGTATTCAGTCAAACCTCACTGAACTGAACATCCGGATCACAAATGTTTCCTCAGAAGATGGCCTGCATGTACAGTGTTGTAACATCACTATGCTAATAGTTTGAGCTACTTGTCTGATGTATAGCTCTTTGATGTTCTTGTGACTCCTTACAAGATAACAGACACTAAGACTTTAAATGTGTAGGTCTTTCAACCTCAATGTTTAACACAGTGATGGCTTCCTAATCACTGAGAGCCTCTAACCAGGCCATTTGACCCATCTCTCTCTGTCACTGCTCTCGGTCATTACAGGAAATGAAAGTGAATGATCCAACTAGCTTCTCTCGCTCACACTTTCTTTCTCTCTGTTTGAGCCTCTATCTGGCACCGGGTTCCAATGTTTATGCATTTACCGAGATTGCTGGCGGGATTGTCAGAGAAAAAGGAGGGTTTATTTTTTTTTTCTTTTCTCCTTTTCTTTTTCTTTTTTTCCAGTGCAATCTCTTGCCTTCAGAAACCATTAATGCCCATTCAACATCAACATCAAGGCACAGCTTTGATGTCTATTCTGGCAACAGACCTCTTTCTTTCTCTGCCGCCTGCTGCTTTTTCTCTCTCTGTCTCTCTCCTTCTCCCTATCCCCCCTTTATCCCTTCCTCTTCCCCACGCTCACTCTTTACGCTTTCTGTACAATCAAATAATTAAACGGATTGTCGACAAAATGATTTTACCTGGCAATTAAATATGCAAAGCAAGTCGGCAAGCGGTGTATGAGAAGGCGATTAAAAAGGGGCCCACTGCAAATCTACAAAGGCTTGAGCAGCACAATAGGCAGCAGCCCCTGCCTGCCTCGCACACTAGCTAAGCCTGGGGAGTGACTGGTGCCTCTTTATACCAGTCTCACACCGCCATGTTTACAATAGCCCCAACCATGCTATGCCAATTACCACAATGCTAGAAAAAATGAATGCCAGTGTTTGGGGAAAAGACAAGGATGAAGGTAGCTGTGTATGAGAAAAGGTGGAGGGAATGGATAACTGCCAAAGAAATCAAAGTTACACCTCATAAATGTTCTCCATTGACGAAAAGATTCAGAAAAAAATAACAATTTGCTTTGGATTCAAATTCAAGTTTAAAGTGTTTAAAGTCAAGTTTCTGTGAAAGCAAGAACTTCAGAACCTGTGTATAACTCGCATTGCACTTCAACAAAGCACCCATTAGGACTGGAATGCCTCTGAAAGGCTAAGAGGAGATAGCTGTGGTGGGTAAGGGGGGCAGGAGAAGCCTGGGCTCCTGATGTGCTAGAGAGGGAATGCGACATTCAATGTCCATCTATCAACGCTTCAGTGGGGAAAAATGCAAGCAATTTTCCTGGATAGGTTTCCCTTCAAAGCCGGAGCCCCAAGAGGCTGTAAAAATAGAGTTGGGGTGGGGGAGCTGGGTAGGGTGGGGGGTAGAAGGGTGGAGGGTTACACCTGACCCATTCCAGGCAGTTCAACAGAAACTAGCTGGTTCAGCCTGATTAGGCCCCGTGCATTGTGAAGTTAAAACCATGCAGGAATTGATTTGAAGGCTTGGGAGTATGCAATGCATTGATTATGTGTCGAAGTTTTCTCTGCACTGTGCCGGAGATGAAAAGAGTCTTGGAAATTAATCTGCTATTTGTGATGTTGAAAAATACAAACTGTTCAGAAATTTTTGTAAAGAAAGAAAAGAAAAGAGTGCATGTGATCATAAAAATGGGGGAAAAAATATGGTGTCTAATAGATGTGACAAGCATTGGCGGCTTGTCAGTTTTTATTTTCTTTTTTTCTTTATTTTGGCCAAATTGCCAGGAACAGCTAGCAGGGGAGAAAGAAATGAGAAAATCATTTTGTGGGAAGTGTAAGCTTGTCACTAATGATTGTTGTTGTTTGTGTTATGTGGCTACCTCTGCTTTTATCCAATTGGATCTTTTTTACATCAACAATTAGAATGTAAGCTGTACAAGTGAGTGAGTCTCAGCTTACACTCCCCATAACTAAATTATTTTATGTATTCCCCCCCCCCCGAGCTGAAATAAAGCCAGTTAATTGAGGCAAACATGGCTCGGCCCTCTGATAGGGGATGCAGGGTGCTTCATTACTGTTTGTGTTGACTGTCGGAGAGTAGCGCTGGTCCTCATTGCTCTTTAATAGGACCAATTAGCCCATGCTCCCATTTCCATGCTTAATGTCTCCCATTTAAGTGCTGAATACTAGAACGCACACATTTAACCACCAAGGGGATGTAACGCATCAAAAGGTTACAGGCTTTTAGTGATTCCTGTTTACACAGTCAATTAACAGCAGGCATTCACAAATTTAAGCTCTAATTACTTTTTCAGCAACAAGACTCGTCTCGTGTGATACTACTGGAAACAAAGACTGCACGAGGCGACTGTTAGAAAGAATCTATGAAACATTTGGTTCAAATGAGTTCTCACCTCTCCACCTTCACTCTGTGTGGTGATGTGATCACAGCACTGACACTACAGCGCCTCTTTAATGGTGCAGACTTTAAACCACGGTTTACGTTCATTACTGACAGACGTGAAGGTTATATAGAAGGCAGCTCACTGTCAGGAACGATTCTTCCTATAATGTAAAAAACAGGCTCTTAAGACCTTTCCTGTCATTTTCAATAAATATCATTTTATTATGGGATGGTGTGGAGTGAAGATCTCTATATCTAATCTTTTCTGTCATCTAGCGAAAGTTTTACATTTTTTTTATGAAACAGCTGGTTCTTGAACACTTTGCTGTCTAAAGAATTGTGGCTCAGTCTGTAGGGACTTGGGGTTGGGAACCGGAGGGTTTCCAGTTCATGTCCCGATGTTGACCAAATCTAGAAATTGGTCTGGCAGCTGGAGAGCTGACGGATCACTCCCTAAGCACTGCCGAGATGCCCTTGAGCAAGGCAGAACCCCCCCCCCCCCCCCCCCGCGCCAGCTCTGGAGCGCTCGCCCCTCACTCTGACATCTCTCCATTAGTGACCCTCTTTAGGATCCTGTTTGTGTGAGTGTATTTTCAACAACAGTGTAAAAATGTAACTTCCCCTCGCAGGATAAATGAAGTATATCATCTTCTAACGTGTATAAATCCATAGACCAGCCGCTTTGTCAGAAACTTTAAGTGGTAAAAGACTCTAGTCTACCTTTGTAGCTTCTAAGTAACCTTCATAAATGACATTTCACGAATGATGATTTTCTCTTCTAATTGACCAAACATTCATATGAACATTAGCATGATAATCATGATGATATGAAAGAAAAAGGCAAACACAGTCATTATGGAACTCTTGAGATTTGTGAAATAAACAATTTCCAGCACAACAGCTTTCATTTGAAAAATATAAAACTTTAATAAAGGCTACATCTCTCAATAATTACAATAATTATAGGTCCATGTAAATCTTTAAATGAAACTCTTTATATAATGTATAATTTACAGTTTAGATAGAATGAAACAAAAAAAGGCTGTGGTGTAAAAACAAACAAAAACATGGTTACAGGATATTATTAAAAGCATAAAAATATCTTCTCAACATAAAACCCTTCTGAAAACCAAGGGATATATATTAAAACCCTGAAACAGGGTAGCACATGGTATGGCATCCATGTAGGCACAGGTGCTGTACTCAAAACACCAGCGACAGTGTGTGTGTGTGTGTGTGTGTGTTGTTTATGTGAGTGTGTGCATCACATGTGACAGTATCCATACTTCAGAATGCATAATTACAATGTATACAGGAGCTGTGCTATATACGATGTTAATGTAACTACATTCAAAGTAGCCATGGTTCTTCAATGATTTTTAAACTTGTTTTGTTTTTTTTGACACGCTAGCTGACTTCATTGAGAAGTCGTTCTCAGTGACCCAAACTGGTTCTTGTTAGCACAAGTTATTCTGGTGTGTGGGCTGTAAACACTACCATTATTAGATGGTACAACTTGTGCTTCAGGTCTCCTCTCTGTGTGCATCTGCAACTGTTTTTTTTACACCCCCCCCCCCCCCTTTACCCCCCATCCCCCCTGTGCAATGCCTGGTTTACAAACAAAGGCACAACAAAAAGATTGAGCTCTGTTGCCAGACTGAGGGAAAAAAAGAAAAGTCGGGGTAGACAATGAGGGAGAGGAAATACTAGTGTGACAAAGTTAACATTACAAACTATCAGCAGCATATAAGACTCAGATTGACCATTAGAGTAGTGGAGGGAGCACGCCTCGGACCAGACCCCTGCTAAGGTTGTTAGTTTGGGTCAGACGGGGCAACAAGGCTGTGGGAGGTGCTAGGCTAGTGTCACATCCTTTGTGTAAAAAGTAAAAAAACAAACAAAAACAAACAAACATCACCACTGTATTCTCCCAACATTCAAAGCAGCTTGCCCATTGGCTGGAAAGATGGGGTGGGGGGACACAGGTTTAAGAAGTCTAAGGTAGAGGACAGGGGGGGGGCTGTTTTTCAATAAATACTTGTTAAAAAAACTTTCAACTCATGACAAAAAACATCTAAATATATGATACATGTATGTATACATATATGCAGGTATGTATATGCACATGTTCAGACGTTTTTGTAATGATGTTGGAGTGTAAGAGCAGGTTGGTGTCGTTATTTTCTTCAGCGCCTGCTAGTCCGTCTCACTTGGCCCTGAAGGCCGATGTGGACGCACCGTCAGTCTCTCAATACATCACAACAAAACAGTCATCTACATCTTCAGTGGTTATATTCAAGAAGCGGCGGGGTCTTCCCCCTCCCCCACTGGCCTGCAATCATCATCATCATTCATGTATTGGTCTTTAAAAGTCTCTCATGCCATTCCCTTGTATTTCTAAGGCTGATTGGTTGATAAAAGTCAGGGAGAGGCGGCACCTCCTCTGTGTTCGGCATACTTCATTGGCTCGTCTTCCTTCAATCACTCCTTTTGTGCTGGATATATTAACTCTGTTTAGCTTAATATTAAGAAATACGAAAAAACAAAAAAATTAAAAACAATCAAAAAAAGTCCAGAGTGTTTTATCTTAATTATACAGAGTCTTTCGCTCAAGGTTTTTAGGGACAGTTTTAGCTTTGGGTTTGGGCGGGGAAGGGCATCGGTTGGTTGGCAGCAAACAGGCTTTTTAGTCCATCCTCTCCACCTTGCCCAGGACTTTGCCCTCATACATGGGCAACACGGTGGCATCCTCCCAAACTTCCTCAAACACTGCGCCGCACTCAAACTCATCACTGGCTTTCTTGAAGTAGTACCTGAGGAGGAAAAACAAAGAGAGAGGTCTGTGATTAGAGATGTTGGGTGTAGGTGTTACGTGAAAGAAAAAACTAAAAATTGAACCAAAACGAAACCTGACAGAGTGGCAGCAAGAGTGCATCTGATACATTTCATCGTGTTTTAAAAAAACGCTTTGAGGCACCTACGTGACTACTTCCATATACAGGCTCGTGCACAACTCCCTTTAGTCCAAATCAAACACAAACACGCGCACTCTGAGAGCCAGAAATGGATCCTGCTCAAAACAACTTAGTCATAGCCTTCAATGCCATCGCTGCACACTTCAAAGGCAGTGCCTGACTCCACATCACACCGCTGCACAAACAGAGCAGAACCCTCCGTTTAAACACTCCCTGTGATAATTCAAGCTGCTAGAAACAGTCTCTTTGTGTGAGTCTGTGTGTGTGTGCATGTGTGTGTGCGCATGTTCATCCATGTGTGCTCGTCTCCTCATCCACTTGTTTATCCTGACTGCTGGCCATTCTGCAGATGCCTATCTGTCCTGCAAGGTCTTATTAAAGTTGAAGGGTTAATTAGAGGCTGTCTTGAGCCCCCCCCCCTGCCTCTCTCCTCAGCATTGCCCCCTCCCTCTCTTTGTCTCCATGGCTTCTAATTGGACTAGCTGTCAAATGAAGGGCCTTTCTGTCACACAGGTTGACATTCCAGGTGCCTTGGAGTCTGCCTGTGACTGCAAGAGCACACTGCTGCTTGTACATAAACATGCACATGCCTTATGTTTCTCTTTTAGACACACTGGCTGTCAAAGACACACACACACACACACACACACACACACACACACACACACACACACACACACACACACACACACACACACACACACACACACACACACACACACACACACACACACACACACACACACACACACACACACACACACACACACACACACACACACACACTTTGGGCAACTCTCCGATCACCAGCAGAGAATAGAGGAAAAAAAGACGGAGTAGGAAGTGAAGAAAAACAGGGGGAAGCGGAGTGCAGGCCTTTCTTGGCTCTGTGAGCGGGTGTGATAGGTTGGAAGTTGGCCGAGCCAGAGGAGCTTTACCCTGGGGGGGGGGGGCTACAGCTCAGACAGTCTCCTGGAGGTCACAGGTCACCTAGCTAGCCCACTCTTCTCCTTCTCTCAAGCAGAGATAACTCCCAGGGTTAGCCCAGTTCCAGTGACTGTGAAGTCTCCTGGAGCTCCTAATGATTTCTCTTCTCTGCTTTAAACCCAGCAAAAGATCAGCAGGAGGGGATTTAATGATAAGCTTTGTAATGGAAAAATGTCTCATTTTGCCCATGTGTGCCTGTGTTCAGAATACAAAAAAATGGGAGAAAAGTGTTTTATGAGCTTAGAGTCATTCAAACAACACATGTAAGAAGGGGTGTACAAAAAAAGCGCACATACAGTTTTATTTTCCATGTTGATTGTAATTCCAAACAAATGGAGGAGGAGGACATTGTGTTATCCAGGCTACAACACTTTCTAAAAAGAGTATGCAGCGATGTGACGGGGGTGTAATGGCACTTCAGCAAAGCTTTTCTCTAAACCAACTTGGGTGGGGAATAGGCCATTCGATCTTCATAAGCGGAAACCAGAAAATTCAATTATAGTTCTCAGTTTTAATTGGCTGGATTTTTTTTTTCAGAGGAAAATGCCACATTTTCACTCACAAATAGTTCAAAGTCATCACTTTGTTTCAGAGAATGAGAGACAGAAGAACTCTTTCCACAGGAACATGTTTTATGTGGCAGGATTTTTCTCTCTCTCTCGCAACATCTGGCACCAATATCGTCTGGCAGAGCAGCGGCGTACCGTTCTCCACTGTAACGCTGCCATGTCCAAATTAACCAACTCCACACATTCTGCTGCCATTGAAGCCAGACGCTTCATCCCCACCTCCCCTCCCCCTTTTCTTTGCTTGCTGAAGAGTTATGGGATAGCAGGGGTGCAATGACTGTTTGCAGGCCTTCATCTCTCTTGCCCAACAAGCAGATGTGGCTGCAACCTAATGTTGATGTCATGGGCATGCAGGCTTTATGTCTTTTCAGTGGGATACAACCTACGCAGTCCTGGAGCAGTTACTTGATTTGGCAAGCCTGGACTTCCCGATATGAATGTTTTGAAACTAACTAGCCATTATTTGTCAAACTGCTTAATAAGATCCCCCCTCCCCATCATTCGATCCTGACAGGAGGTACTTTTGCTGTGTTAACTGCTATCAGACTTCAACAGAAGAAAGTGCAGGCGGCATCTGATTTTAATGCATGATGCAATAGTGTGGAGGAGGAATCTAAAGGCCTTGCAATGGTCTTTGTGCACAAAATAAAATGTCCCAGGCTTCAAAGCCATATTTATTAAGGCTGCCTTACCATGGAAATCAGTACCAGATGTTTGAAAAGATTTGCCCCAGACCCCCTCCCTTCCCCCTCCTCCTCCTCTCCCCTCTCTCTGGAAGCCATGAATACAGCGGATCAGCCCAGTTTCTCCTCAACTATTGGCCTCCAAAATGTAACACTCCCACTCAGCGGACAAGCTTATTCAAGCACAATGCAAAGACACAAACGGTTATTTACCTCTACTAATAGTCAGTAATATATCTATCTATGTTTTGGTTATTGTACTGTGATCTGTTGTCAGTGGTTCATATTTACCGGTAATTTCCTTTCTTGCTTAGCTGTTCCTTGAAATGTCCCAGGGTGAGGCAGTGGGTCTTCATCATGCTGCGATAAGGAATCTCCTCACCACAGAAGAAGTAGGTGACCACGAGCTCCTTCGACCTGAAAATGCAAAATGAAAATGCTTTTAACCAGCTGCACTCGGGGAAAAAGTAACAATTGAAAAAAGCACAACAGACTTGAAATCAAACACATAAAACTCTTTACCAACAAATGTATGAAGGGGGCCAATACATTTGAGGAACCAGAGGCTACTTTAAACATCTTTGTTGTGTTCCAGTGGTGAGTTTAGGGGATACATGTGGGAAGCTGGGATTTTTTGCATTAAAGCATGTTTAATCTTAAATGATTAAAAGGCTCGAGAAGAGGAGTTCAAAGACATAGCTATGCTGACTCACAAAGTCTCTTTTTTTTTTAAGAAGAGAGAGCAAGAAGATTTGTGAGGAAGTGGGTGAAAAACACAAAAAAAAGGGAATGCTAAAAAAAAACATCTATGTGTATGGGAAATGTATTCCGTGAGTTAGAGAGTGATATACAAAGACAGTTTGTATAAAGGGCTATGGAAACAAAGACAGGATCGTGCAGTAGAAGAAGTTAAACATACTCGTCTGTTTGGAGTCCAGGGCTGGCTATAGGGCTGCCTCCAGTGGGGAAGGCAGCTGCTGATGGCTCCTGTCTCTCTGAAGGCTGCTGGCTGCAGTTAAATGCCTGTCAAAAATACCATCGATCAATGGCTAATTAATACCCACATTGATATGAAGAGGAATCACAGATCACCATAATATAGTATATTCTCATGTGTTAGACGGTCTATATGTATGTGTACTAGTATTTAGTATTGTATGTATTGAGTATGAGCAGGTTTACCTACCTTTGTTTCGGCGGCTTGGAGACCTCCTCTAGTCTGCGGCAGGCCTCCTCTAGCTGTGCCAGCGTGTTGGGTGGAGGCAGGGGTGGCATGGCTGGGTCCTGGATGAATGGGTGACCTGGGTGGTGGCCCCGGAGATGAGCCCCACTGCCGATGCCACCTCCGCCCCAAGAGGAGTGAGTCCGACTCGGCAGAGCTTTGGAGTCCAGTGGGGTGGACTTCTTAAGACCTTGAGTGCTGTTAGGATAACAAGAGAAACATGTACCATGAGCTGAGTCTGAATACAACAGTTTGGTACCAACAATGAGTTAATTGCTTCCCGGTAACATACCTGTGGGGCTTGTGCTTGCCCTGTCTCTCACTCTCAAGGATCCACTGCCAAACATTCTGAGAGCGGTCTGTGGCATCGAGGGGAAGGTGGGGCGAAGACACACCCTCATCTGTGGCCTTGACCGGCCGCCTGGACAAAGTGCTGCAGCGACTTTAAGGAAGACGTAAAGAGTGGAAGTTAGTACAAGAGGCAAAGACGTTTCAACACAGTAAATATAATAAGTAATCAGGCACTAATGACTAATGAACAATTCTGACTAGCAACTTTTTCCAGCACAACTCAAAAGTTACACTTACCCTGGGGTAAAGTCGGAATAATTGGCGCCCCCTGGAGGGCAGAGGCACTGCACGCGTTGGGCCGCTTCGGCCTCAATCTGCTCCTTGGTCTTAGGCCCAGCGTGATGATGGTGGATGTAGTGGTGGTGGATGTGCTTTGTGGATGGTCTGCCTGTCAGCAGAACCTTGGGGGCCCCAGGATAAGCACCAAAGAAGGGCCCGTGGCCAGAGGACACTGTTGCACCAGTCCGATCCGGTGAGCTCGAGCGTGGTGAGTGTCTAACAAAACCTGGTGACTGGCAGCCGGGTGTCTTCAAGACCCGGGATAGGTGCTCATCTAGGATAGCCTGGGGGTCTTCATCACATTGACTGCTTGACGGGAGCAGAGGGTGATTAAGGGGGGTGCTGCTTGTGAGGTCGCTGCTCTCCTCTCTTTCCTCCTCCTGTACGGACAAAAAGAAGAAGAGTTTAAGACCTGAACATACACTCACACATTGTCACATGTTGAAAGCAAGTCATGAAAGTTCTGTCTCAGCTTACAAAAAGTTATATCTATCTTCCTGTGAAGTCGGTGAGAGCAAACGGCTGGATAACTTGATTTGAGTTCTCTTTTTGCTCCACTGTTATCTTCACTAACAGGCTTTGGGTGCACTTCATCTATAATGCAGAGTGTGCCTGAGCTTCACAAAGAGACTGGTACCACACATACTCAGCAAACGTGCCACTGGAGACTATCTAAGTGCTAACTATTTGAAGAAACTTCAATTGTGCCTAGAAACATAAGTTTGAAAGTTCCTCTTGATGAAGTAGTGGAGGACAGAGAGGAAAAGGGAAATAGTTAAACCAAGACAGACTTTTCAAATCCCTTGGTCTTTCCCTGTTCTTCGAAATACCAATGCTGCCATACAGGCATTTGTGCTGTGATACCATCATACAGAGTTCATTTTTTTTTACAGGTCTATTGTCCAACTCTTTGGAAAAGGTGTGGCTGAATCCGTACCTCCTGGATCTGCTGCAGCCTCTCCTCGAGCGAGCTCATGGTGTCCTGCTCTCTCTTCAGCTTCTCCAGTCGGGCAATGAGCTGGGCAGCAAAGGCTGAGGGGTCAACGGGGGTCATCTCCTTAGGCAACCGGTGTGTCCTCTGCAGGGTGAACAAGAGAGAAGAGGATGCTTTAGTGAGCGTGAGTGTAACTAAGTAGTGTTTCTGACAGATGCAATATGTTGCATTAATCCACACTGCCCTTGCCCTAATCCTGTCTTGTTCCAAAAAGCGTGCTACTCTTCCAAAAGCCCTAATCCAGATGCCCTTGCCCTCGAGCTAACCTGAACCCTCTCCACCACCCGCCCCTCCCAAAATCTTCTCATGCCCAGTGCCCTTGGCAGTGCCAGGCTGCTGGGCGAGGGGAGAGAAAGGGGGTTGCAATGGCGGGGTAGCAGTTGGTCTCGCTCGGAGGGGAGGCCCCCTGCCTGCACCCTCTGTAGCCCGACCAAGCCATCAGCTAGGCAGCCTCTGAAGTCAGTACACTTCAAAGGGCCCTTGTCAAACATCAAACGCACACTAGGGGTGGGAGGGACACGCAGCTTTAAATCTCCGAATAAAAGCCAGATATCGACAGAGAAGAGGAAAGGGGAAGAAAAAAGGGAGAGGAGGACAAAATTAACAGCATGAAAAAAAGAAAGAAGATAGAGATGTGCGGTGGTGAAGTGGCAATGGGAGCAGAGAGAGAGAGCGACAAAGAGAAGGAGGGAAAACAGGGAGGGAGAGGATAGAGGAGTCAAATACTGGGAAGATCTGAGGGGAAGTAGTAATTTATTTCCCGGCTGCATGCAGGGCAGCTCAGAGGTACTCTAGTCACATTATCCTCCTTTTTCTTTAACTATATGCGCCGACTTCTCTCTCTCCCTCTCTTACTTTTTTGTTATTTGGCACACTGGCTTTCTTGATTTTGATTCTTTTTTTTGTTGTTCCTCTCATCTCTTTGTAGACACGATGAAGGGAAGAAGAAGAAAGGCAAGCAGAGCTGCTGGCAAAGGAGCGCCAGCCCTGCACGGGGCCCCCGCTGCCTGGGGCTGGTGCATCATGGGAGACAGAGCCATCTCCAAATCAGGAGGGAGACATTAAAGGAGTGCAAGTGGGAAAGGAAAAGAGAGAGATTGAGAGAGAGAAAAGACAGAGAGGTTGAATGAAAGAGAGGGGGGGGGGGCAGACAACACTCTCAAATTCATGCACAAACACACACACACAGCTATCCCAGATCCACGTTCCTGTGTTTGGATATGAAGACAAAAGAACTTCAAATTTCTGTTATTGCCTCAAACAGCCCCACCTTCTTACCTCTGTCAATCAGTTCTAACCCACTTTCTTAAACCCGCCCACAACTACTCCAGCAGGTCAACTCGATTTGGAGTTTAAAGCAAATTCACTGTATGACCAAAATACTAATGGGACCAGGAATCCCACTGGTAGCAGAGGAAAGTTGAATTAATGTGTCCTATCAGCAGGAATGTAAACTGGAGTTTTGGTTATCATTCAGCAGGTTCAGTCATAATCTTGACACTGCCGTGGTATTATTGTCTATTACCTATGTTATAACCACAGCTAACGCTAATTAATAAAACATATGAAGCTATGAGGCTTCATGGCATACTAGAGTTACTGAGGCAGAATACAAAGAAGACAACAGAAGTTTATATTTACAGCCTGATAGAAGTTACTGGGATGGGGGATGGAGGTGGGAGGGGGGCTTGAAACAGCAGAAGAAGAAGTGAACTGAAATGCAAATCCTGCCTTTCATTTGCCCCGACTTTTATATGAAAACGAGCAGGGGGAATGAAATATAGTATTCTGTCACAACAGGAGCTCTGAGAAAATAAAATAAAGCAAGGCACAACTCCTCGAGGGAATCAGGACCCAGTTGTCTGTCAGCGTTGTAAAAGTTTGAGTTTAAGAGATTACATAAAAGGAAAACATTCAGACAGGAAGTAAAAGTTAACGAAGTAGGACTTACAGGAAAGTGGGGTAGCGTTATCTGGCCATTGATCTTGACACTTCGATGCATCTCCCGCTGGAGCTGCTTCTTGTTGCCCAGCTTGTATGGAGGGATTCCATCTCTGTTAAAAGGCAAAGAGATTGCACGTTAAAATGTGGGTAGGAAAGACGTGCTAACAACACTTAAATGGCCCTTATTAACAAAAATTCCAATTACTGACAGTGTAATGTTTGTTCATTTTGATCAGTCACTGCTACTCATCATGCAGAGCACAATATCTACACGCCAACTGTTGGCGCGTTAGTGCAATTAATCAATCTTTGTGGAGAAAGCGCCCTTAGGAGGCAGTTCATCATTGAAGTGCCGACACAACACCACCCAGAAACCACCCACTAGGCACATTACAGCTAAATCAAAAGGTTGCAGAGCCCTTGAAGCCAAGGCAACAAAAACACACATAACAAAACACGCCAGGACAATGGGAGAGATATGCTAAACATCCCACTGTGGGCTTCAAAAGAGCCCCACTGATAAGATTACATCAGTCCTTGTCAACTCTGACAGTAGTTGTTTAAAAAGCAGAAGAATCAGGGCTAACTTTTGTAGCTGGCTAGACTAGGAAACTACAACAGGCTAGTAAAAGCTGCTTAAGTGGTGCTGGCTTTGTAGCTCAGTTATATTAATATGAAAATAGAGATGTAGCTAGGACTATCAGTAGTCTCAGGACAATTAAGCATTTATTCTGGGAATCTTTTTCTCCTTTTTTCATTCTGTGTCTACTAGCTTTTCCAGTCGGCTGCCACTTAAGCTGGGCCAATTATCTTGGCCGTTTTGGCTGCTCAGAAGTGTCTGACCTAGCCCAAACGCTACTTTTTCTGCTGCCTCTTTGAAATCTCACACTCATGCACATATGCACCCGCTGCCATCTTCGTTTGGCAAGCGCTGTGCTGTGAGCCTCTGATCTCAGCAACATCAAAAGGCTGGTTTGTAAGATAAGGTAATGTTTGAAGTTGGTGCAGCAGCATTCCCCAGCGTCCAAGTAAATCCATAAATAAGATATAAGCAAAAAGAGAAAAAAAATTCCCCCCCCCACCAACTCCTTCTTCTGCCCCCCTTCCTAAATCCTCCTCTTCTTGTTCTTTATCTGGGAAGTGAGATTCAAATTTGCAGTGTGTCTTTAAACCACAGTATAAGGACACACTAATCAAGTTGTGCACTAGAATGAGAGAAAAAGCAGCTGCATTTTTTTTCTTTCTTTTAAAATCAGTTTAGGGTGGAAATGTTAGGGCTGGTGACAAGGACAAGAGAGGATCTCTGTGTCAAAGTTATTTTAGAAACTATTAAAACAATATGTCTTTGACAGGTGGTGCAACTTAACCATTCTTTCTTTCTTCATATAAACAGGCTCTGCAGGTCACATGTCAGTGTGACATGGTCAAAAAGAATCACATAATGGAGCCAATTGGAGTTGCTGCAAGGTTCTTGTAAGTGGGAACGACTACTAAAATCAATGTATCACAGACTGTACCCTCGAGACTACAAGCCATCAACCCTAAAGGCAAAGGAAGTAACACGGGGAAACTCTTCAAAAGTAAAACTCAGCGGCCCAGAGGAACTTGTAGGCCAACAAGCACCTCAGACTGAACTTTGAAACCTCATTCTCACACCAAGCTCGCCAACTTCCCTCATCACAAATTATGGTTTTATCGATTCAAACTGTCCCTGTCTGGATGCTTTGTCCAGGTTGAGGAGGAGAAAACAGCCATAGACCCTTTCATGGTTTCCTGGGCCTTTACTTTATTGTGATCTCCTATTCACTTGTGCAAGTCATTTTCAAAGCTGCCAGCCACCCTCTTATCCCCCTAAGCTCCCCTCACCTAACAATAGGCTGAAAGCGATTCAGTTAAGCCCTTTATGCTCCATGCACTTTATTTTCTCACTCCCTTGCACTTCAGGCCCTAACCACTCCTGCTATTGGCTCTGGAAGGCGGAGGAAAGAAGCTGTGAGGGTTGGATGGTGGCGGTGAATTTTTTTTGGGGGGTGCCCTAGTCTGGCCAGGGGGAGTTCCTCCTGCCTCGTCCGAAGGTCTAGAAAGGAGTAACCCCTGTGAAAGCCTCACAGACACATGATCTCAGCACGCCGCAGAGGCCAGTGGCAGGAAACCGACCCACCATGTGAGTAAGCCTCCTTTCATTTGGTGCCAACATTTTTCAATGAGTTTGTCTTGAGGCCCAAATGGCCATTTCCCTCCCCCTCTCCTTCAGCTCTTCAAAGGGAAAAAGCGATTAGATAATATGAAAAAACAAGTCTGTTGTGGCAGAAGGGTGGGTGGGATGGATACATTTCAACTTTGAGGAAAATGAGGCAACGCCCCCACCCACATCAAGACGTTCTCATTTTTTTTCACCCGTCTCTCCAGCCTGTAACACATCAGAATAAACTTCAAAAGGTCCTCAGACATAATGACTTTCCCAGAGTTATCTCCCTTGAGGCCACAGTAACAACTACACATTAATAGAATTACCTGGAGTCAATCATGGAGGATAATTAAAATACATTATGGACAATTATTTCGCAACAGTTTAGTTCCCCCGGACCCAAAAAACGGCTGAGTATGTTGAACTTCAAGGCCAAATATTTTCCTGAACACCCCTAGAACTTTTTCTGGAAAGGTGTTGACTGAACTCTGTTCAAGGCACGTTTAGGTACTCTGAAAACAATAAAATCCACAGAGCTTTGGCCAGAGTCAGCTGGAAAAGAGCTTTTTGAGGTTGCAACATTATCTCTAGAGCAAGCTGGGTTTAGAGAGACCAACAAGATTTGAATCTCAATACAGAATTGATAAAACACTTACACGCTACTGTCCGTCATGGACATGGAATCATCTGTTGTGGCATCACTGGAGATCTCACTGTCATTGGCACTGGTGGCAGGGGCAAAAATATAACCGGAGTTGACAAAGTAGGGGCTGGCGGGGTCTCCTCGACGGTGGGACCTGTGAAAGACAAAGGGGAAACATTTGCCAACTGTAATTTGTGGTCTCTGCAGGTTGAAGTGAAGACACTAGACAAGAGTAAAGTTTGTGTTCCCTTTTCTTCTGATTTACATTTGAACAAATTCTAACTGAAAAAAGTGACAGCATGACATTTGCTTCTTCAAAGTTTGTTCATTCTCTGCAGATTCTTTTGTATCAAGAGTCACTTCTCTTGGCTCAAGGAACATATCAACAGTATAACAGAGGAGAGTGTCTGCTCTCTTTTTCTTTCCCTGTCTAATCCTCATGTCCCTCTTCCCTGAAATACAAGGTATATTTTTTTGGGTGATCGAAGGGTGAACCTTCCAGCTTCCAATGTTTTGTTGTGGCAGACATTTACTCCTGCACTTCCTCACTCAAAACTTCAGTCTGTCTTCCTTTGGAGTGTTTTTTTCTAACTTCTATCTCTTCCTCTCTCTCTATCATCCAGTCTGGGGGCCCCTCATTTTTCTTCTCTTCCCTGCTTTCATTTCTAAGGTCTCTCTCTCTGTCTTTCTACTCTCTCCTGCTGTGTTGCATTCCTGTTTCAGTAGTGAAGGGGGTGAACAAGGAAGAGGGAGAAGAAGAGGAAAGGGGAACTTGAGCTTTAGAGAGGGAGAGGGTGAGAGGGAAAGGGGGAAGGAGGGCCCCTTTCTTTATGAGAATGCCTTCTGCTGGGAGTGCTGAGAGGAGAACCCCAGCATGACTAAAGCCGTAGGCCCCAAGCACAAACCTGACCTTTGGAAGGTCCGCGCAAAGAGTCAGGTATTTAGCACAGCTGGGCTCTCTGCAGCCCTCGCTCTCTCCATCCCTTTTCTTACTTTCATGATCCCCCCTTCCGTTCTTTCCCCCTTCCTCTCTTCTTGTCTCTCCCTGTCTCCCTCCAAAGCATGCTTAGTCTCTGTCAGACTGATTTTTTTTTTAAAAGGCGAGATAAAAGTGCTGGAGAGAAAAGAAAAAAACACTGAGACACACTATCTATGGCAAAGTGGGATTGGTGGTTGAAGCTGCAGAACTGAGCTAAGGATGTTTTGTTGTTGTGATTTTCTCTCACTTTTGAGTCGAGTCTTCAAGGTTTCTCAAAAAGAGGGGAAAAAAGGAATCTGTGCAGCGGTACAATTAGTTCCACATGTTTGAGATGGAAATTGTTTGACCTAAAGAGACCATGTGGGGCAGGGGGAGAGCGCGGGTGACGGAAGGAAGAATGAGGGGTCCCTCTCTCTCTCTCTACCTCACCGTTTTTTCATTTTTCTGTGAAAAACAGGAATGCAGGGGATCACACCAGGAAGCCATGGGATGCCCACATGTCAACAAACCATGTTCTTATTGCTTTCTGACTCAACATGGTCACAGAAAATGGGAAACTTTACTATGTTATCTGACAGCCCCTTGCATGAAGGAAGAAAATCCTTCATAGTGTACACTCTCAATGTGAGTTATTAAACATCACGTAAGAAATCTCTCTTACATTTGAAGTATCACTAAATGTGCAGTAAAATCACAGAGAAAAGATCAGATATTAATTGCACTTTTCCTTTTTGAACAAAGTATCAAGATAATGTCAAAGCTCTAACTAACAATTGCATCCAGATGTGAGGACAGAGCAGTTGAGCAAAAAAACTTTTGAAGCGCCTTTTGATGCAGGCTCATGCATCAAATCCCGTTTTTGAAAATGTTCCTGGCTTGAAAAGATTTCAGCTGTTGGACAATGTGTGGGACGAGCTCTTAAGATAAAAACCCATGCTTTCCACAAACAGTTCTGCTTTCATCTCTGACCAAGGGAACAATATCTCTGCTTGGCATGGGACTGACTGCACAAGTTATTTTAACTCTGTATTAGCATTTATTAAAGTAAGAGAGACTCTGTGACATCATACAATAGCTATATTGCTTAGTGAGTAGGGGGAAAAAAAGGAAAATACAGCATAACTTTAGGATAAGATCAAACTGATTCACATCCCTGTTACAGCTATGAGGCTTGGTGTCTGAATTTGTGCGTGAACCGGAGGAAGGGTTTCAAAGCACAGGAAACTTGAGCAAGCCAGCAGAGGGCTGCCTGCAAGACACCATTTACTTAAAAGGAAGGCTCAGATCCATTGATGTTTTGTAACCACCCCAGCCCTCCACCCCTTCAACCCCTTGACTAACTGCAAGGCAGGAGGGCACACATATACAGGCATGTTCCTCTGAGATCCTTTGATCCAGTGCCTCTATAACTCTCTGAGGCATTTGTGAACATATTCACTGCAGTTTAACTAATGAAGGAATATTGATCAGGAGGAGATGTAGTAACAAAAACAAAGTGACACTGCCATGCATGTTCTAGGTGAGCGCTGCTCTTACCTGCAAGTATTCTCCAGCACTTCAGCTGCTGTACGGATGGTAGCAGTAGCCCTCAGGGTTTTTGCAGACAGTCCAACCACAGAACCTAACGTCTTTGCCTTCAGGTCATTACAACTCCACTCTTCTTCCTCAATGAGAGGAGGAAGATATCCACACATCAGCTTCAGGCTGCCGAGATTGCCATGGTTCATGTACGCTGCGTTCTCGCAGCCGGTGCGCACATATTCGAGGTATATGTCAGAGGTCAAAAACATCTGGTATGCGTTCTCCTCCATGTTGGACTGGATTTCCGTCTGTGCTTGGTCAAACATGGCAGAGTCTATTTGTTGTTTCTTAATACTATCCCTTATGAAGGTCTTGGTGGCGGGTTTCAGCTGCTTGGCGACAATACTGTTGTTCTCGATGTACCGCTTGAAAATAACTTTGGCAACTCGCAACGTTTTGGTATCCTTTAAATCCATTTGCCTGAAGCCATTGCAGGCGAACCAAAAGTCCAAACTGTCCACGCAATTCTCACGCTCCAAAAAGGTCCTAAAGAGGTGAGCGCCGTCTTGGTCGCCCAGGAGAAAATGCAGAGACTTTGTCCACCGGACTAGGGGCGAGTCCGGGGACGCGCTGCCCTCTGGCTCCCCAAGACCATCCTCGTTCCTCCGCGGTGTAGAGCCGGGAGGCGCGGAGGTGGCGGGGATATCTTTAACCTTGCTCTGGGCTCTCATTTTGGCAGATCTGCTGGGGTTGTAGCATGACGCCTCTCCCTCTTCCCCCGGTACAGGAGGACGAGGAGCATCTTCTCGGAAGCTACTGCTGATGTGCTCCGTAAGCGCCCTGCTCATGGCTCCAGCTCCGGTTGCCGTGTGAGAGTGCCGTCGTGCCTCCACTGAGCTCCAGCCTAATCCTCCTCACTCTCTAAAAGCAGCGGGGGACCTTCTTAGCTCCTCTTCACTCTGAAACACAAAGTATTGATCTAATCAAAGCCAGATCCTGCTGAACTTCAAAGAAAGACATCAAGTAAACAGTCCCTTTCAAAAAAAACCCTCGCCGGGTTCACAGAGAAAGGAAATATGAAAGGATTTTTTTCTTTTCATTTATCTATTTATAATCTAAATGAGAGATCAACAGCAGCCTACTTTCACTTCGTGCATTGATCTGTCACATCAAAAAAAAAAAAGGTTTTACAAGAATAATCATCGCACACAGCTCACTCTTCACCAAAACGTAGTCTTAACAACTGTGGCTTACACGTGTTTTCCTAACGAGTCCATGTCACAGGCTTCAACTCCAATTAATTCCCAATCTGTTTCGGACGACCGTACCCTATCCCTGTCTGAATCACACACACACACTGACACACAGCAACACACATGATTCGTTTCCACTCAGATCCCACACTTGTCCTCGCCATCCCAGAAATGTACAGACAGAGTCGAAATGCAGATCTGATCTGAACCACAATGACCTTAAACGCAGTAGAGGGGTAAACGGCCCCGCGGGAAAAGCCAGTCGCTCATGCGTAAATGTAAGCGATCAATCGCCTTAATATCTGCCCAAGCAAGAAGCCTATTATAGGACATTATTAAAGCAAACCGCCTCGGCGACGAGTTACCGAAGCGACAAAAAGAGCTTGATTTATAGGCAAACCTCATTCACAATCTAAGCTGTTAAATGGACACTCCGCGCCAGAAACAAGTTTGCCTACCTTAATCGATAAGAAGCTGAAACGTCACAATCTGTGTGGCTCGCTGTTACAGGTGCTACATTATAATTTTAAACTCTCCCAAAATGCATTGTCTCTCTAAAAGCGTAACATAAAGGAGTCGAAAAATCCAACGAGTAAAATGTGCGTAAAACATACCATCGCAGACAGGTCCAAGCAAAGTAAAAACCCGATAAAAGGTGATGAGTTACTCCATTTATAGTCGAGCAAAAAAATACAGTCCAAATCCCACAAACAGTAATCCTGTACAAAAAAAGCGGTGACGGACTATTTCAAGTCTGTGCCGTGCCACATGTGTCCCGAGTCGCTGCAAAACAAGCACTGTAGTTTGCTGTACCCTGTCCCATTCAACAACTGACCTCAGAGTAGGCAGGCTCAGTCCCTATGTAGATCACTGGGGGTGTCAAAATCTGAAGAGGTATAAGAAGAGGGGGGAGTGTGTGTGTGTGTGTGTGTGCTCTGATAGAAGAATACATCCCACTTTTTTTCCCAGCAAGACGCACAACCCGACAAATATTCGGTTTTTATCTGGGCTACACACACACACACACACACACACAGACACACAGAAACACACACACTCACATATAAGCTTCTTATCTATCTCACCGTATTTCTCGCCCACAAACAAGAAACATAGCCCGCATTTCTCAACTTCAAAGCTCAGCAGCAGCACATCAAAGCGGCCAAGAGAGGGGGCCTGTGGAACAGCTTTTCCTACAACTTACCATCCATGTACCCGAGTAGCCTTCCTTTTTTTTGAAAACGTGAAAGCAAAGTAGTCCAACAACAGGCTGTTGCCTTTTAACGCACCGTTCTCTGTCCTGTTATGTCCTTTCGCATTGAACAAACTGATTGCCGGAAAAAAAAAGTGTTTTCCCCCCTCGACTTTTCCCTTAAAGTAGTGCTTCAAGAAGTCATGGCAGGCAGTTGAAATCCTCCGAGCTGTTTCTAAACCAACTAGGCTGAAGGTTTAACAGCGGACTTCAAAGTGAGGAACCGCTGGCCTGGTCCCGGAAGATACATACAAAACCCAGCGCCTTATCTTCGCAACAATCAATGAAATAAAGCGATTTAAATGGTGAAGACAAAGAATAAAAATACAGGAAAAGCAAGAAGAAAGCAGTATGGAATATATTTGACAACTCATTTATGTCAAACCCTTTCCTTTGGTTGTCCTAAACATTTATTTAACATTTCTAGACGGGGAGAGAATTTACATACGTGCCAGGACCTTATCAAAGACAAGCAATCTAGCCAACTCCCCGGGGCTTTGGAGCGTCAGAAGTAAGTGATCTACCGCGCCAATAGCATTATTCTTACAGTCTGTCAGTTTCAACACAGTCTCAACAGGAAAACAGAGCAAACAAAAGCCATACTTTTGTTGCCTTTGGCTTTTTCCAGGTGACAGATCGAGCTAAGTGCGTTCACCTTGTTGTGGTGAAGCCGGTATGAATTGTTTGTTTGTTTTTACAGATCAATGGAATTTTTTAAAATCCTGTTGAACATCAACACATTTCTTAATTATCACTATGTTTGTTAATAATGTGTTAAGAGTTTGGGTGTATTATCCTTTTGTAATTACAGTAATAGGCTATTCAATATTAATTAGGCTACAGGACAGAAATAGGAGACTAGGAAATCAGAATTGGTTATATGTCATTTTAAACTTAGTCCAAAATGATTTAAAATGTATTCTTTAAGTTATAGCCTCGATATGATAATCCTATAGAGTGTAACTGTCAAATCATTTGCATATTAGTCACAGGCTTTTAGCCACAAAGATGTCAACCTAACACACATGCCAGTTCCACATTCAGAGAAAGCGGCACAGCAAGACATTTTGATTGAAATTGGACAGAGAGCAAAGGAAAGAGCTGTTCTCCAGTCTTTTAATTCACATGACTTCACTAATGTCATTGTGACAGAATCTTAAAGAGTGGGTGAGACAGTTATCTAATCCCATGCTACTTCAAAGGCTATATTGTCCCTTTGATGTTTGAAATCAACTTTAAAGAAGGATATAATTATATAAGTCAGAGGATTCAAATTCACAAAACTTGTACAACGGTACAGGACAAGGAAACTAATGAAATCCAACTTTTCATGAGGTCCCTGTAAGTGGTGGTTTTGCTCATGTTGAGTTATGAATAAGTATAACCTGAGCATGCTCTGCATCACCCATGTGGAATTGAAGTTATGTCAGCATCTTTGTCCCCATTTTCTAAATCTTTACACTCGGCCATATGGTTGAAGGTAACATGCAATTTTCATCCAGTCTAATCTTAGCTTTGGTATGTAGTTATACAATTTGTATTCTCAAAAAACAGAGTCCTGCAGCCACACCGGACACACGACACATCTCAGGCATTTTAGTTTTGGCATAGGCCTATGCATACGGGTAGTTTTAATTTAATCCAGCTTTCTTACAGATGTCAGCAGTTGTGATCCTTTGTTCGTTTCTTGGTAAAGCAATGGAGTCCTGTTGATTAAATTGACATGCTGCCAACCATGTCTTGTATGCTGAGGCTTATTTCAAATCAATCCTAAATGCAGTTCAATGCAAGGTGTCTGTATGACAGTATGACTCCTTCCCTTTCTGTCTCTGAGTGGGCACATGTGTGAGTGTGTGTGACAGGGTGATGTATGAATGGGCTCTGGATAAACAAACTTTTCAGGCACATCCAAAAAAAAATCCAGCACCCATTATATGCACAAAAAACGTCAAACACTTTGCAATGGGAAGTGTCTGCTGTCTGCGAGATGGTAGACAAAATCGCAAATGGTCATCAGTGTTGGCTCCATGTTGTTCACGGGGCACTATATGCTGATCAGCGAAGCCCAAATTAAAGCCATGAAATATGTAGCCATACTGTTATCTTCACACTTACTTATATGCTTTAAAAGAAGAAGTGAGATAATTTAGGGTTATAAAATGTAATATTTGAAGTATAGAGCAGTTTTATGGGTGGAATATTCACATTTCGGGAAAAGATTTTTTATCATAACTCTTATTAAATAAGGGTGCAGATATCACTGCAAAAGAAAAGAATAAAAGAATCCAAGACAGTTTGACAATTTGCTGACACGGCCACAAGCTCCGTTCATATTTTGGCTTTTAATGACAAGAAAAGTTCAGGCTTCTTACTACTCCTGATACTGTAAAAATACTTAATTTTTAAAACACACAACAATGGAGATTACCAAAGATGCAGCCAAAATAAAATGCAGGTTCTTTTTTTAATTCAATTGGGAAGTGTCCTGATACACTAAACTCATGAGACCACACCTGTTGACCCTTGAATGCCCACTCTTGTGTGTAGCAGTGACAAAAGAGGGGAGAGGGTGCTGTAAAGCAGCCCCAAGAAGCCCCTATTTGATGTTGACCCTGCCCTGACCCCTTTGTTGGGGCCCTAACCATTTCACAGGAAGAGAGCACAATACAGGATGAGAGTGCTGCCACTGACTTGCTATGAAGGCCCAATAAAATGTGGTGACCTGAAGGCTAATTGAGAGCTCGTGGTTGGGAAGAAAATTAAAGGCATCTGGTGCGTCACCACAGATTGGAAAAGAGGCTCCTTTAATTAGAGATCGCATTAAAGGTGTAGAGAAAGTGTTCACTGCTGTCTACACAGGTTTCACATATTGTGTAGGAATGATTAAAAAAAAAAAGTCTTTCTTTTTTTGTTATTTTCTGGAGAACTCTTTGATGATGTATCATTAGTTCCATCAGCAGGCTTGTTCTCCTTTTCGTTTTTCACAAGAACTTCTGAATTTGCATCATGCTCAAGCCAGCAGCATGCACTTCAACAATGCAAACAATAAATTCTATTCATCCCATTTGATCACTTTTTGCTTCTAAAAAAAAAATCCTACACTTGTGCTAAAATAGCACAGAAAAACAGAGGGAAAGGGTGGATAATTGCAAATAACCCAATATTTTGGAGTTCAAAGGCTGTGGTGTGTTTGAGTGATAATTTTGGCTCAAGCATCACCATAAACACTAATAAAATTAAGTGCGTGAGAGGGAGGAGGGGGGCGTGGTCAGGCGTCCCTTTGAACAGACCCTGTGATCAGTTCCCCCTCTCAATTAGCGTATTGTCCACTTGTCCTTTCAGCTGCGGGGGAGGGGGGCAGTCTCCCCCCTAGCTTCCCTTTGAAGTGATTATCCCTTTATCTCAAGCCTGAGCGAGGAATATCTTGGGGGACAATAGCAAATTAAAGCCCATATGGAGAGAAGCGTGAATGTCTGTTTGTAGGCAGAGAGAAAAAGAAAAGAGTGATGGAGAAATAAATAGAGTGGAGAGAGAGAGAGAGAGAGGGGAAAAAAAGAGACAAATAGCATCATTCTTTTTGCATGAGCTGAAGGCTGAGTGGTAGATGTCAACACTCATCCAAAAAAAGTAATTTAGGGCTTGTGCCAAAATTGACACTTGTAGCAGAGTGACTTTAGAAGAGCTAAAGGAGAGAATGGGATGGGGGGGTATGTTTCATGACAGATGGAAGAAGACGAAGAGGGAGAAATGGAGAGATAGACTGGTGAGCATGCAGAAGAGAGAGGAGTGCAGTTGTCAGCAGAATCAGATGGCGGTCAGGCAGACAAGCTTGAAGAAGATACAATTAAAGTGTGGAGTTAAGACGGGCTTTGAAGTTGGACATGGTGCATAACACCCTTAAAGTTTGAGAAGGCAGCCATTCATCCGCTTGATATGGCTTGTTAAGACCATTCCTTGTAAAAGACCCAATTAAAGAAAAATAAACTTAAATATCAACTTTGGGAAAATAAATCAAGAACAACTTAAACCAGGTAATGTCTTCAAACGGGTTACGAAAAGAGCAACCAATCTGAGAGGTCATCTTTTGAACACAGAGAGAGGGATTTGCAGAAGAAGGTGTGGGGTGCGTGCGAGCAATGAGGATGAATAATTACTTTCTCTTACAACTCTCCCTAATTTTTTTTCCTCTTTAAATCCTGTTTTTCGGTGGCTTAAAAGTTTAATAATGTATGGAAACAATGTCTGTGATGCTCAGCCTAATCCGTTTGGGCTCGGCAAGCCTTTGTAGTAACCGAACCCCTTTCAGATGTGAGAAAATGTTTATGAAGACAGCATGTATGGACAGTCTGTCTTTCCTCAGTGCAAGATGATATGCAAAGAAAATAATATAGAAGCACAGCCTTCTACACATTACACAACATCATTGTTCTAATGCAGAAACACACAAAAAAATCAAGTGAATTCATCTTAATATATACTTTAATTCATATGGTTGTGCTCCACTGCACCATCTGTTTAATTATCAGTTGTTCCTATACTGTTATTTCACAAATACTCTTAGACTTGTGTTAACTATGTTTGTCAACTTATTATGCTCGACAAATCAAGATACTCTTCTGATTGTGAAAGTGAGACAAACAAGCAAGTGTTCACTTTGAGCTCAGTCAGTCGGTCATCCCTAATGAGCGTCTGACATGATGTAGAAAAAACCACTGGATATGAAGCAACAGTCAAGCCTATTAGAGGCTGAACACAGTCTGTTACAGATCACAGCTCTTTAAACTGATGACAGCTAACTGGCCAATGCTAAGCCTGACAGTAAATCCATGCCTGCACTTATAAGGCAAATGAAGCGGCATTGTTGATGAAATAATGCATTGTTCGACAGCTTGACTCGATAAGACAGGATGAAAGTCAGAGAGTGGCACCTTAAAATAAACACAGAGACATTTTGGCTTGATTTTAACCTTTACAGCCAAATAGACAAAAATCGAATAGAGTCGAGGATGTAAAGGTAGCCATAGTGTCTGAAAAGTGATTTCATTACAGAAGCGTGTAAAACTTGCAGCTCTCTCTAACTGCTAGCAGGGGGCAACTTCACTAGTTACAAAATTAAGTCTTATTAGGTGTTTTAGGACCAAATAGTTCTGGGAACTTATTGAAGGAACTATCCACTAGGGAGTTTCCTAATAACTA